GGATACACTTTTTGGTCCAACCTTCTCCGAATTGAATTCCGATTGAACCGTTGGGGTCAGACAGTCAAACTCTACATAATGATATGATTTTCAGTATTTATTGACAAACTTTAGAATTTACTTATTTTTGGGTCCTTCTTAGTAACTAATTAATTATAAATTAATTAACTCTGATAGGCCTATTTTTGGGTGTTACATTTCTCTCCCCCTTAAAATAATTTCGTCCTCAAAATTACCTGAGTCATTGATTGAAGAGATTCGGATACTGTGTTCTCATTGACTCTTCGGTTTCCCATGTTGCTTCTTCAGTCGAATGATTTCTCCATAGTACTTTGACTAGAGGTACGGATTTGTGTCTCAATTGTTTGACTTCTCGTGCTAGAATTTGTACAGGTTCCTCCTCATAAGTCAATTGTTCGTCAAGATATGTGATGGATCGGAACGATATCTTTTCAACATCGATACATGGAATACATCATGGATTTTGTTCAGTTCTGGTGGAAGTTCTAACCGATAGGCTACTAGACCCACACGTTCAGTGATTCGATAGGGTCCAATATATTTCGGACTTAGTTTTCCCTTTCTACCGAACCGTAACACTTTCTTCCACGGTGAGACTTTCAGAAACACCTTGTCATCAACATTATATTCGATCTCCCGACGTTTTAAGTCGGCATAAGATTTCTGTCGATCGGAAGCAACCTGCAATCTTTCTCTGATTAGACGAACCTTCTCTTCAGTTTCGCGAACGAGATCAGGTCCTTCAAACTTTTGCTCACTTAATTCTGTCCAGCATACTGGGGTTCTACAGCGTCTCCCATACAAGGCTTCGTACGGGGCCATTTGGATACTCGCTTGATAACTATTGTTATACGCGAATTCCATTAGCGGTAAGTATTGTTCCCAGTTGCTTCCAAAATCAATTACACATGCTCTCATCATATCTTCAAGAATTTGAATTGTCCTTTCAGATTGTCCGTCAGTTTGAGGATGAAATGCCGTACTAAAGTTAAGTTTAGTACCTAAGGCTTTCTGCAAACT